AGACATTACCACATTGCAGCCTGCGGTGCATAGTTTCTGGGCTTGCGTTTCCCCACTTCACCCCAGCCTCGGGCCCTGTGGGCCTCCATCCTCGGCCTCTAATTAGATTACCCAGATTCTCCATTTTGCGCAGGGCTCCACTCTGGGCAAACCCTACCTTTAGAGCTGTAATATGGGGTCTTAAAGGGAGGAAATGACCTAAATGGCGGTCAGATGGGATTCTGTTACACCCAATGGTGTGCTGACACAACCGCTTCTGTGAAGTCGGCAGTCCTCACCAGGATTTATGGCGCAGTGAGTAACGCTTGCCCAAGAGGAGAGGCATGCAGCGCTATGGTCAGGCAGGGCACGGAGCCCTGATGGCCAGGTCAAGGCCAGAATGGCCAATTTGAAAGCCCAGTGCTCTTGGAGGATCAGTCAAGTGCAGGTAAACTGAGGCAAAGCAAAATAATAATAGCTGAATATTTTTGGCATAGAATTATTTGTTTCATAAATCAGTATGCACTGTCAACGCCATGTCTTTTAAATGTTATAATTATTTATATTATTACAATTGGATTATAATTGTTTAAAGTTTTGTACTTTCTATCTCCTTAAGCTGATTTTCTCTCATGAACAGCAGAAACTGTCAAATATTGGCTTGGCAATGGGCCTTAAAGTCCGTGGTGACATGAAACCAGTACAATACTGCCTTGTGTAATTGAGGTCTATATTTACAAACTGACAACACAGTTATTATCACATCTTGAGAAGTTTGTTGTATGAAAGTGTCAATACTGGAAAATGTTTTCAGTTTCAGCAGCTGAGTCACCCATATTCATTCAACAGTTATACAGAAACACTATCAACATGAACACATCACACTAAAGTCAGAGACCACCTCTTTGTTGTGTTCATTTTCCAGTCACAATGGCCTTTAAGTACAAGTTATTCATTTTCCAGTGACAAAAAAAAAAGCAGGAAACATATTTTACAGAAAATTACACCAAAGCCTCCAACACGGAGTTTAACATTGAGTCTATTAGCATTTAATATGTCCACTTCTACTGCCAGTTTAACTCCTCCATCCTTCCAATCTTAAAACCAATAAGTTACAGCCAATTCTTCCCAACAAAAGCTGTTTCCAAATGTTTCACTGACATTGTTACCCTTCAAAGAGACGCCAACATTCACACAAGCAATTACTCAAACGCACCTCAGCTGCCTTCAAATTTCCTTCCAAGATCAGCACACGTACTTTGATTCACTTTGTAAATACAGGCCCAAATGTAAGATAATACGCTTGCATAAGGACAGTATAAGTCAAGGAAAAATAAGTTAAAAAAAAAAAATTCTGGCTCCACTCTCACTTCAGATCTGAAAAAGACAACTGTGTTATGGGTCTGAAAGGATGTGTAGCTGTCAAGAAGCCAATACCAAAAAATGATGCACTAGAACACAAAAAACTGGTCATCTGAGATGTGGAGTAAGGTTTTTTGTGAGAATGTGAGATCTTTGGAAGAAGTCTGGAGTTGATGATTGGATTTGTTTTTAATCGGAAGGCATCATGAACGCTGACAAGTACAAACAACTCATCATGCAATATCTTCTGGAAAACGTTTGAGGAATGTTTGGGAAGAAATTTATTCTACAGCAAGATAATGGCCCCAGTCAAACTGCTGTGAAGATCAAGATGTATTTATCAAACACAAAGACCTCAACATCACTGAATGTATTTGGGATTGCTTGGATTGTGAGAAACAGGAAATGCAACCAATGTTACTGAACTTTGTAGGTGTGGAAAAAAAATCCCTGCAGAAAAACTGAAAGCAAGTCTCTTATAAAAGAATGGAAGTTGTATGAAAGACAAATGGTATTACTAATGTTTTACTAATGTTGTCTAACTAATTACATAAATTACATTAAAAATATATAAAGAGTAAACTTTGATAATATGAAATTTGTGGCTTGTGCATTTGTGCCGAGACTGTGCAGAAGAGAATACGGTGTACTGTGAGTGGTGTCTCTGCAGATTCTACACGGAGGCCACGGTGAGTGTGAGTGATCTGCAGTCATAAATCATTTCTGCAGGACAGTGGGAGGCCGCCAGGCACTCAGCATCAGTCATGTTCTGCTGAGGCCATCTCACATACACCCCCTCATTCCACTCATGCTCTACTCAACCTTTTTACTTTTCATACATATGGAATGCAAAAAAGATAATATTTATGAAAATGCACCTGTATTAAATAAATAACAAACATGTCCCAGACATACATACGCAGACACATTAGGTGTATACATTCCATACACTCTATTATTCCTGTCTTTTCTCCCTCTGCTGGACCTGTGCTATAATTCTAAGCAGGTGGGAACCAGAGGAATTCAAAGGAAGTGCAGAACACAAACTGAGTTAAACTGCTGAATGTGAAATGCACAACTCCAGGGGGAGCAGAACCCTCAGCTGAACTCCATCTTGACTGCACCATGCATTTTACATGCTGCAACGCGAACATCAGAAAATGACTGAAGCTGCTCTCATGAATAAATATCTCAAGCACTTCAGAGTTTGAATCACAGCTGTTCTCAATTAGCAGCTATCACAGTGAATTTCCCACAAACTCTCACAGCTGGGAGAACAGGAGAACATGGGAATCAGATCGCCTCGATGTGATTTTGACTCAGTACTGCATTTTGAAAACATAGCAGGTGACTGTGTTTCATTAAAGAGTGTCAATGCAGGGAAATCTACTGAATGGCTTAAAGAGAAAAGCATCAGTGGATATTCACTCCGTTCATGTGAGCCATTGGTGAGTCTCAGCTAATCAGCAGTCGTTTGCGTTTGAGCAAATTTAGGAGGGGGGGTTACAACATACTTACAACAGTTAAAATGTAAAACCGTATGAACAAAGTACACCTTCAATTGTAGTTATCACACTGATATCTAATGCAGTATATGTCAATATTAAAAAAGTATAGCGATTCAATTTTGTTTTCTCTATTGTGTCATGAAAGTTAATCTGCAAGTTGTTATAAACATTCTTGCAAAGTATCCCAATAATGATAAATATGGATAATCAAGGAAAAAAGAAGTACTATTACCTGTAACAGTCATGGCATTAGTCAACAAATGATCACAGCACAGGAAAGAAGTGTTGAAAATGATTCTAGGACAGGTTAAACCTTCTTCCTTCTGTCATTACAAACTATAACTAAACAAAACAACAAACTATTTTGGGTTTAATAAGAGTTCTAAACTGTAACTGACAGCCGTTTTATATAATAATTGATAACCGACAACTCAGCTACATACAACAACCGCCGCACAACCCCCAAAATTATCTCTCATGATATCGAAGTGGAAAGGACATGCCCCCTCCGTCCCTCCGAATCTGCCCTAGTGCCTTTGTGTATAATGACTGGGTACCGTTATGCTATTATGCAAACAAAAACTGGTCTTCATACATCTATTTATTTTACTTGTTGTGTTGTGTTATCAGAATTAGCAGAGAGATTTTCTGTGTGCGTTTTACCAAGAAGCTTCAGAGGCATATGATCCAGAGCGCCTGAGAAGTGGTTAATCCATCTCAATCATGAGCGGTGGCTTCACACTGAGAGCCGTTCTTGTCTTTCACCGAGCCTGTACCCTGCTGATTCTCAAGAACAAGGGAAGAAGAAGAAGAAAAAAAACCTCACTTCACATATGTATATGCCACATGAAAATGTGGAACAAATTAAAACAATGCCCATAGGAAGACTGAATGAAATAAGTGAGGGGAGGGCAACACAGCACATTAATAAGTTTTAGCACTAAAGTTGAGAGCTGTTTTCTTTAGCTTCCATAGCTACAGCTGTTCAGGGCCTTTGATAGAAAACAGAGCACATTAACCGTTAGAAGTCATAGTTCTCACCAGTAATAACAAAAAGCATGTTTTAATTTGATTAGAGATACTGCTTATTTTTCTAATACCTATACTGATACCGTTGCTGAAATTAGCCAATAATAATAAAGGTTTTATATTGTCTCTTTAAATACTACTAATAAGCTTATGATAAGCTTTATTTTTATGGTACCCTTTACACATACTATGCATAAGATACACAAATACAAATACATAAAATGTGCTTCACAGAGGGTTAAAAACCAAAAAAAGAGGCAATAAAAAAAGATATAAAAATAAAATCATACAAACACATAATAGCAGCAAAAGTATGGTAAAATAACATAAATATAAGAAACACAAGAATAAAAAGAAATATAGTAATAAAAGTAAAATCAGCAACAATAATGATAGAAATAATAGTAGTAAATTTACAAAAAATAAAGTTTGTAAAAATTATGTCTTTCACTGCTTCTTAAAATTATGTTCTAATGTTGTCTGTCTGTTACATTTTTCTGGATGCATACAAACAAAAAACTGCCTCATCACATCTTTTCTTGTTGACTTGTGATACATTAAACAGGTCTGCAGGGCTGGATCCTAAAGAATGATTCAGTGTTTGTAGAGACAGACAGTCCATGATGCATGATGGTGCTAATCCATTTACTGCTTTTAGCAGTACTTTAAACCATCCTGAAAGACACTGGAAGCCAGTGTAATGATGCCAGGATTTAGTGTGATATGTTCACTTGCTAGCTTTAAAATGAGCTAATGCTTAAACTGAAACACTCTACTAGCCCACAAGAACAAATACATAGCTAACAACATATGGCAAAGTGAGCACAAGCTATTTCAGGACAGACTTGTTACAAGATTGCATTGTATTCATTCTTTTCTCCCTCTGATGTCCAATTCAGCATTCGCTGTTGATATCGGCCCAACACTGATTCCCGCTGATATTGATTGCCTCTCTATATTTGATATTATATATTTGCAGATTCTAACCTTTCAATTGTGTTTGTAAGTAGAAGAGGATATGCTATTATGATTTGAATTTGATGAAAATATACTGTTGTGCATACAGTCTTGCTTTGCAGAAAAAAAAACATTATTTAATTTTTTTTTTTTTCCATCATTTCTTGCCAAAGGTGTAGACGTCACTCAAAGAAAACTAAAAGATGAGTTCAGGCTCCTGATTATTTCTGTTGGGTTCTGCTTGCTCGATGCACTGTTCTTTTCCATGGCTAGCTCAAGTGATGGGGGGGGGGTTAGAATACGCTCTTGCTCTCCTGCCACCCTCCATAATTACCTCACACTCTGGCTCAGCCGACGGGAAACCCAAGGCCATAATCAATTAGCAATCAGCGGTTGGCTCAGGAGGAGCGAGAGGCCAGCCTGGCCCCAGAGTGCAGACACAAATTTAGGGGCTCGTCCGAGGCCCTGTTTTCCTCAGGCCAGGGTAACGCTATAAAAACAGCCCAGTTTATGAAATGTGGTCAGCAGGATCCCTCTGGTCTGGCTAGTGTTAAGCCTAACCGCCAAACAAATTGGAAAGCTGCTGTTTGTCCCAAAGAAGCATTAGCATAGCAGTGTCTGCTATGAAATAACATCATACTGAAAACTAAACGCACCTGAGAACAGAATCTTTGTTACAGTAATGTGGTCAAAGTTTTTTTTTTTGCGTCGACAGTATTAAGAGTAGTGTATTATATTCTCCCCATTATAACAATTCAAGTAATACTGCATGTGTAATTTTGTCAAACATGTTTTTAATTGTATTCACTCCATTAGAAGTAATCCTGTATAAATGATCCTGTCAAAAACTGTTATAAATTGTCATGAGTGAGTTCGACCATAAAGCACACCAAAATGAAAACTAAATGAATAATCACTATCATTAAAGTTAAGGGAAGCAGTATAAAAACAGTAAAAAAAATGTGTACATTGCATAGTAAACAGGCATTTGATTCACCACTAACGCACAACTGCTCAAAACAAAAGAACACATAGAAATGGTACTTACAGCATATAAAAGGCTACAAATCTGGGTAGTGTACTTTGACTGTCAAAACTAAAACTAAAGTATACAAAATAAAAATGTTATATATTAAAGCAAAAAAGGGTCTCTGAAAAGCAGTGACTAAATTTCACAAGAAAACAACAACACAGAAAAAATTCCAGAATGATTATAACGGGTTATTAGAGTAGTGAGTTTGTGCCTGAAGTTAGTCACAAAGATGATGATGAAGATAGTGTACACTCAATTCAAACTACAGTCACACTTTTTCACTAAAATATTTCATTTTCATTGTGATCTTAAAGTCTGAGCAAAACATGCACCATTTTTGTTGTTCTTCTTCTTTTTCTTTAGACTCTTTCTGTCTAAGAACTGTTACAAAACATAGACTTCCTCCAGATTCCTGATAGAAAGATATGCCCATACTGCCCCTAGTGGTGATAGTGTGATGTGCCAAAGAGGGATACATTTCTCATGCTATTCCACAAGAGGGCAATATTTGCTTAGAAACACTGGGTCTTTAATGCTTTCAGCCTGAACTCTGCAGTTGCTATAAGGAAAATACAAAGAATAATACATAAACCATAAAACATGATTTAGACCAAGTGTGATATATCTAGGGCGCATGACCACTTATGAACAATGTTTTAATAGTGAGTCACCAGTGAGTCACTGTTTAATCCCTTAATGACTATGGACCTGTTGATGGGACTAGACTTCCCTAGCTACATAACGTACAAGCAGTTTCATAGCAGTTACTGCACAATAAGCCTTAAAGGAATGGTTCACCAAAAAACAAAAAACAAACAAACAAACAATTTACACATTTTTCCACTAATCCTAGATGTGGACAATCAGCCAAGACATGTTTGGTGTCCAAACTTTGCTTCTTTAGTTAGCGCTGGAACTATGAGGCTAACATTACTAACAAACACTAGAGGACAAAAGTCATCCAGACCTTTCCATAAACTGATCCCTAAAACTTCTCTCAACCCACTCAAACCACATCCAGGTCTTCATTAAAGTCACACAGACTGATGATGTGGTTTAAAACACTGAACAACTTATACAAGCTATACAAGTAAACAAAGTTTTCATGAATGCAGCAGGCACCCACTTTAGGCAGCATTGTGGCAAACTCCCTACATTATATTCCGTTGTTCTAATATATGAACATATCTTTGCTTTAAAAATTGAAAGACTAACGGTTATTGTATAAAAAGAAACAACAGAAATCACATTATCTGTAGTGTCCACATGCCTGTATAACATACATGCACATGAAGGGGAGTTGGCACAACACCTACCATTAACAGTAAGTCATGCTGTGTTCTAAACCACACTGACAAGTCTGCGGGACCTTACCGAAGACCTGGATGTGGTTTGAGAGAAGTTTTGGGAATGTTTTGGGAATTTGGGTGACTATTGACTTAATGATTTTTAGCAACGTTAGTCTTGTAGATCCAGCACTAAACTAAAGAAGCAAAAGTTGGCTGATCGCCGACATCTAGGAAAGGTGGAAAAGGTTTGTTTTTCACCGAATCATTCCTTTACAGTTAATAATAAAACGATTAGGCTAAAGTTGAAAGGATTAAACTCCAGCCTAACTTCCATGTAGTGGCTATAGGATACAATCTTGTGGTAATTTTAAACATACAACCAAACTTTTTATTAAACAACTTATCTTAGTGTATGAGAGCTTGATAATGTATGGTGTTTCGATAAAGAGTAGAGCAGGTTTAGTGAATGACTGATGCGTAATGTGTGTCTGTATGTGTTTATCTCAGGCATGTAGCAATTGTCCAGTTAATGCAGGGTTTCTGTCTCTGATGAGAGCTGTTGTGATCTCTGACAGTCTCTCTACAGATCTCTCCCACAGCTCAGGAATCTGAAACAATACACACATTATGTCAGCTTTTTACTTGAAAATTTCTGTGAAGGTTGATCCTTTAACTAAGACGTTAAACTCAGGCACAGAGGTACAAAACACAGAAAAAAAACACAGAGACATGATTCAGATAACCACACAAGCTTAGAGAATGCCTGAAGGAGTCAACAGGAACCACCCCAATCACTGTGAGAAAGCAGTTCAAATAAAACAAGTGATCCATAATCAAGTTTATTATATAATCTGGCCCAGTTCATTTCAACAACACAGATGTTTGATATTTAGCCTAAACAGCATCAGAGAAAGATCAGTGTCTACAGTGTTTTAGGCCCTTCATGGAAAAGATGTCTCATTTGATACTTCCTCAGCATTCTTTACAGTTTACAGGCCGTGATATTAGGCAGCAAAGAAGAAACCGCACACTAGACACCAAAGAGCTTTTATTCGTTTAGTCAGTCATGCTCCACTTTCTTTAAAATGCCTGCCCTCCTGTTGTGGACTTCTGGTTTCGTGTTTCGTTTGTGTCTTTTGTCTAGCCTCTTTTTCTGTGGCATGTATGTTTTTAATGGCCAGTTATAGAGCTTTTAGTGCCTTGCACCAGCTGCTAATGGGCATCTTACAAATAAAGTCCGTCCAAGTCTCTCAGCTTCTAATTTGTCACCTGAATTGTTTTAGTGTGTGGAAATAAAAGAAAAACGTAGAAATCGAATGGAACATCCATTTGGATATGATATTAGGAGTTTCCACATAAAATACTTTCCCTGTTCAGGTTCATTTGAACTCAACAGACATACTACTTTCAAGTCACTTCCACTCAGGAATAAACTGTATCATACTGTCAGGGTTTATTTTAAATAAATTCCAGTTGCATGACGCTTTGGCGACTCATGATAGAAATCCCACTTCTGATACTTATATTTCAATATTAAAACAAAAGCATTGACTCCTAACATTATATACTAACTGGGTTGTAAAAATATCTTTATTTAATGACGTATAGCGCACATTAAAGTTAAATGGCCCATATCCTGCATTTTTTTTGCATTTTCTTTTTTATTCTAAACTCCACTTATGACTCATTTTTACATTGTCCTTTGGAATTAATCAGGCTGCCTTTGTTATTGTGTCCGTAAGACTGATATATGTAAATGATATCTGTTCTGATTGGCTCGTCTGTCTTCTGATTTATTCAAAAAGCAGATCATGCTGAAACACTCCTTATAAAATGTAGAATGCCATTCATAGACTCAAGGATGCTTTTCAACACAAGTGATAAAATAACACACAAATAAAAGCAACAGGAGAAAACAGCATTAAATATAGTAGGAGAAAAAGGAGAGAAGGGATGAACAACAACTGCAGGGAAACTGAACTGACTCATCTTTACAGTAGTGGTGATAGAGACCAGGAGTCATGGTGTCTACAACACAAATACAGCCATTTTATTTATCCAAAATGACCAGTGAACCTGCATGTGACCTTTAATTTTTATATGTTATGTTCATAATGGTAAAACAGTGGAAAATCATTGGGTAATATTTTGCTCTGCATGTAGTTTTTACATACTTTGGACATTTGGCTCTTGTCACCCTTGCTGTGAACACTATTGACTAAGTAAGTTTCTCTAGAATGGTTAACTTCACATCAAACCGTTCTGAATGACTTTGTTTACATTAATTATGAACAAATTTTGAAAAACTGGTAGAATATCCTTTTAAAGCACAGCACTACTGGCCTCCTATGGGCTACTGACCACACCCTGACAGCTTTATTGGTTTTAAAGTTGGTGGTTTGGTCATGGTTTTCATAATAACTGCCCAGACCTAATGCTACAATCTAGAACATCTCATTTATAAAGTAGTGACTAGGGATGTAGAAAGGATGTGCTGAGAGTGAAATGTATGATTGTTACAACTGATTATATTAGTAATCCAGTAATTTAATGATTATTTGAGCAAATATTTGAATAATTCAAGTCAAAGAAAGTCAAGTATTGAAACTTAATGGACTTAACAAACCATGACAACATTTAAACAATTTAAAAACACTATGTCAAAAAATGCATATAAATGGGTCAGTTTATCAGGCTCAGTTTTTCTTTTTTTCTCTCCTATGTCTCTCTTATTTAAATTTATGCATTATCATCATACAAATTGTCAACTAAGAATTTTTAATTAAATAAACAGGTTTACTTGAGCAATTGTGACAGCACTATGTGACTAACAAACACATCTATATCAGACTATATGACTTAAAAGACACATCTTATTTCTCTCTGCAGTCTTTTAAAATGGCTGGAGAGGAATCACCACTCACTTTTTAAATAAATACTTTCTGTAAGCACATCTGAATATGATCTGAAAATATGCCTAAACCAAGCACTTCCCATGAACTGCAGTACATTTTTAAAATTTACATTTAACCCTGAAATGGAAATGATTAAAAGAGGTTTCCTGTTTTTCTTAAGGATGTGACAAAGTCACTATTCCTCTTATTAAATTAATGGTAAGAAGCATATGACCAAAAAAGATGGTCTGAAGCCAATACATCTGTGAGCAGTCAACAGGCACAGTTGTTTTTAAAGCCTGTTAACCCTCAACTCCCTATAGAGTCCCTCCATTTGATCTGGGTGTGTTTGTATGGAAGTAAGATATACATACATAAAACTATCAAAAGAATTTGTTGCAATTTGCTCTGCAATATGTGAATAGGGCATTTAAGTCAGGGAATCAAAAACAAAACAGGAGAAAGCCACCCAAGTGTTACTGAGGTCAGTGGAAAATACTTTGCACAGTAATGTTTTCAGCCTTGTCTATAATGCTAAAAAAGTGTAACCACAACTAAACACAACAATGTTCATGTGGTTAGTTCTGTTATTGGGGTGACACGACATCAACACTGGAAAAACACAAATTAAAAAAAAAGAAGACAAGTCATGAAAGCCAGTGAAAGATCACCAAGGAGGATCAAAGATTTAAAGTCTATGTAAACGTCTATGTATACTGAAATATCCACTGTAGAATACTGACAGTGGAATATAAATCATACATCATACGAAAAAGTCAGAGAAAGTGCTAGTTTCCTGAACCAAATCCAAAATTGTCAAGATTGTTCAGATTAGGTTCAACATGTCCAAAACAATTTATTAACTAAAAGTACAAATAGTAATATTTTGACCTTTGAAAGTTACCACACTCTTAAAAAAGGTGGTTTTTCAAGGGTTCTTTAGTAAAGACAATGGAACCATGAACACTCATGAATCATTTGCAGGCTAAAAGGGTTCTTTGTATTGTGAAAAAATACAGTTCTTCTGTCTGAATAGCAGGTGGACTGAATGTTTTTTAATCTATACAAAACTTTTTTTTGAGCAAAGTCAAATGTCAACTTGGTACAAGCTTATTGAAAAAAATAAGTGAAAGTACTGAAATTTAGGATATTGGGAATGTAGAGAACAGTATGCCAAACTTCAGTCCTGAAAAACTACTGAACTTTGTGCAACTCTACAACTAAAAGATGTATTTTTTACAATGAACACAATCTAACAATACTTTCAGGCAAATAATAAAAAAAAAAAAAATCATATTTTCACACTGGTTTTCTTGTGAGTTCTTTCCTCGTTCTTCTCTTTGCACTGGTTTCCTCAAAAGTGAACCTGAACCACAGAGAGGTCAGAGAGGCATGCTAGTGGCTAAACACACTCCGATCTGAAGTGGTCCAGCACTGAGCACTCAGCGCATTGTAAATCAGTCAGAGCTGGGTGGAGAAGAAGTGATGTGTGAAGAACACACTTTCTCTCCCACTCCGCCATATTTCCACCCTGAACTGACAGCAGGCCAGGGGGAGTGAGAGAGGCTTGGCTAATGATCTCTATTTTGGACTATTGTTATGGCTCATACTTAAAAAGAAAGAGGAAATTCAACACTTGGAATTCTGACTTCTCTTAAAGTATCCATCTAATCAGAAGCAATGACTTTGTCGTTCGTAACTTTTCCACTGATTCTCAGTGTCTTTTCCAGGCTTATGAGATGGATAAAACATTCAGTTGTGCTCCATGTAGCTCCAAGCCTATGCAGTTGCTTCCTGCTCATTACACATTACAAAATACTTCAATACATCAAAGCTTCCTTAATAAAGAGTATTCACTGAACAGGTCCCTTCAGATATTTGTCTCCCGTCTTTTTAATATCTCCACTGACCGCAAATATTCTGTAAATGGACATCACATCTGAAGATAACTTGGTCACCACTCTGGATCAATTGCAGTACTTATGACTCATCTCATTTTCTCAGAATAGAAAGACATAAAATAGATTTGTGTGTTATCCTTGACTACTTTCTGGATAGTGGCAACTGAATGACAAAGTTATGGCTTAACATAAACTATTTAAATCAGAATAATTTGATGGTTACTGGATATTTGGTTATTATTTGGACTGTACATTATTGCTTTTCCATTTATTATTATTATTATGTTTATATTACTAGTGTGATTGTAAAAAGGTCAGTCAATTCTGAGTAATTGTAAAAAGCAAAATTTGGCTGTAGCTCTTTCAGGCTTTCAGGCCAACAGAGGATGAAAGGTTTATGAGTGAAGGGACTGAGATAAGTGATTGGTCTGATAAACACAAGCTCATTGACATATCTATTGCGTAGGGGATTACGATATACATACTTTGATTTATGTGGCATTGTACACTCATTACTAAAAAAATGCAGTGGAGACTAGATTTCTTTGACAAAGGAAAAATCAGAGAAGAAAAGAGGACTCCGGTGATGCCAACAGACCACACAGTGAGCAGCCCTTTTCTAACTGTCCTTGAAAATTCCACAGCTGCAATCAACCTTTCCATCAGCACGGAGCGACCCACCACCGTCTCGCACCAACGCTTACTTTGAAGACGGAGCCTCAGCAATTAGGAACTTAACAGTGACAATTTGCACCACTCAGTCACGTTAAATCAGCCTCTCTGCAGCCAGTTGCCCAGCTTCTCTGCTGTTCT